CCAGCATCTATAAAACTGTTACACTACTTGGAAAAAGAAAACACCCAGAGCTCAGCTAGGCAGTATTTTGTGGCTTGGTCTGTCCCAAAATGCCTCCTTAACACGAAGTGAACTATTCCTCCCCTGATGTTTTTTATCATCTAAGTGGGACTCTATGGCATTTCTGCAAAGAAATATGATACTAGAAGTTAATACTTTATTTTGCATCATTCTAGATTGCAGATTATTTAAAAAAAATCTTAAGAAAAAAGCCTAGTGGTGATCAAGGAAGATGTCTGCAGATACACGATATCCATAGCACCTACTGTCTTCCCCAGCCTTCAAGCAATGCGAAATTACTTTTATGCTGTAGCTCAAGAATGCATCAGTTTTTAAGTCAGCCAGGCCATTACTGGAATTAGAAAAAAACATGGAATAGTAGGTAGGGAAACAAATTACCTAAATGGATAAGAGCCAAACAAAGGTGAAATCTGATGAAGAAGTGTGTATGAATGCAGCCTTGGCTTCAGGTGCTAGGTTATTCACTTCATAGATCACTTCTCACCAAAGAAAGGGCTACTGCCACACCCTTGCACAGTCATGGAAAGAGGATTATAAGTAGCCTTAAAGCCCTATTTGGATGGCTTGGCACAGGGATATTTTCAAGAGCACCTCCTTCAGCAAGAACCAACCTGTTAAGAACTTTTGGGAGGAAAAAGTGGTCATAGTTCCCCACTATCATGAATCCAGAGGGGCTGAAGCCAGGAGGAGGTGCATCTCTGAAATGCCTCCCATATTATGGAACAGACTTCCCTTAGAAGTGAGATTAGCGCTGACTTTTTTTTAATGAGATGAGAGAATGCCAATAATTATATTGCTCTGATTAGGTCACTGGTTTTAATTTTTGTATTACATTTGCTATTATAAAATGGATATGTTAAGTCTATGTATATAATCATGCTATTGTTAACACAGAGAACTGTGATGATTTCAGCAGTCTAGAGGTCAAATAAATAAATGCAATACAAAGCTACAAGAGCAAAAAATTTAAAAATGCATCTGAAAAGCAGGGATCACGAATAACTCTGAACTCAGCTCACAGACCAGAGGAAACACCACAGAAAAAGTGCTGAGTGGCCAGAAGGGAAATTAATGGAATTGTAAATTGGGAAGGCAATGAAACATAGAAGAGATGCTACAAGAGAGGGAAAAGGTTATTCTGCCAAAAATGTAGGAAATGTTGCCAAATTCTCCTAAGATGCTCAAGAGAAATGGGTGTGCTTTCCATAGTTCAGTTCACTTATTATTTATTTGATTTGTATGGCTGCCCATCTCACCTAAGTGACTCTGGGCATCTCACAACAGAAGCATACAACCCAAACTGAGCACTATGCCACAGATTCCTTCCATATGACCTTTAGTGGTTATTGTGCAGTCATTCAGTTGTTCTGATGTTTAGTGACTTGATGGACATACTTTCATCAGGACTGTCGATCAGTAACTGCTTCTTTGAGTTTCTGTAAGCTCATGCTTATGTTGTGTTATCACCTAGCCACCCTATCTTCTGTCAATGTTTTCCCCAAGCTTCAAAGTCTTCTCCAGTGACTTGCCTTTTCATTATGTGACCCAATATTTAAGCTTTAGCTCCACTGTTAAGGTTTCCAGTGGCAATCTGGTATCATCAGCATGCTGGAAGTTGTTATTGCTTCTCCCAGCAATTTTAATTCTAGTTATCTATTTCTTCTAGTCCAGCATTTTTCATGGCATGTTCTGCATATAAATTAAATAAATACTGTGACAGTATACAAGTATGATGCACTCCTTTCCCAATGTTGAGCCATTTAGTGCTCCCTATTCTATTTTAACTGTTACTTCCTAGTCATCTTTGTTGGAAATAATGAACACACATTGGCTGACCCATCTTTCCTCATGCTGAGACTCAAGTAAATATGATCCATAGAATGTTTATGGTCTGGCCTTGTGAGAACAGTGTACATGGCACCATCCATCATCATAAGTCTCTGACACTTTCATCCAAAATGCACTGAGCTATTGAAAACTGAAAAATAATGGATATTTTTCTTCAATATCCAATAGGTGGAGATATTGCTCAACTGTCAGCAATTATGCTGAACAGAGACAGCGTACATTAGCCTTAAGGGGCTAAAGATGTCTCACCATTAATCTATTCCAGTAGCAACTAGGATTAGAAAAACATGTTTCATTACATAATATTCAGCATTTCTACCCACCCATTCTGGTTCAGTGGCTAAAGTTTATATGGAGTGAAGACGATGAACTTTGTATAGCATATTTCTTTTAGGAAATACTGTCTAGGAGCTGTAAAGCAAAATGTGCTCCATTTAAGTTTCTAATTAGGCCCTAAAATCCACTGAAATTATAACTTTTTCTAGTTCCAATTTCACTTTTAACTCTACAGCAGTCCTACGTTTCACCACTACTCCATACATCACAGCATCATTCAAGGGACCAATCTTCATGTCTTCTCTTTCCTACCCACCTATTTAATTGCTAGTTAGAGAGCCAGAAAATGCAGGAGATTCTGCTTAGCTAACCTTTGGTCACTTACTAAAAATATAATCCATCAAGTACTTGGATTTTTTTTTTTTTTTTTTAAAAACAGTAACTATTGCTTACAAGATGCCATACGATGGTTCATTTTTTTTTTCAAGGTCAATAAATGTCAATCCTGGCTGTAATATCACCCAAATCTTCAAAATCACAGATCCCCTCTAAAATACTAAAATCCTTTTAGTTATTTTTCTCATCCTTTATTCGCCCCTGTAAACAAACAGAATCAGCTACTAATTGAGTTCAGGGAAGTATTTTTAGTTGCTCCAGAATTCAGATCAATCCAAAAACGGTATGTTCTGAGTTTTCCCTTTATCCTTCATCTTGAAATAGAACAAGACGGTAGAGCTGTAAAATATCAGGCTAGATAATGTATGAGAGTGTAATTATCAAAACCAGTCAGGGAACATGGGTTATGTAATTCTTATACTCCCCACTATATCTGGAAGTCAAGGAAAAATTGGAAGTTAGCAAAAGAAACAGAACAAAACAAAGCATCTGCCTCTATTCTATTCATTAGCAGAAATACCCTTGAGTCTCATGAATGTCCCACTTGGATGAGAACATGCTAGGACACTAGGTCATCTTACGATAAAGGGGTGATCTGTGACTTGCCACGTTCACTACAGCAGCTGTTTTGTAAATGTGCCCACCACACATTAAAACTTCAAATAAGCCTCAAAAAGTTGCCTACTCCTGCTCTATCCCTAAAGAGGTAATTTCAATATTTCTATACAACTGTCAGATTCCAAATGCAGGCCTACCGCTGACACAGTACCAAGGATGCTCTCAACGTACACTGATGAAGCACAGTGGTGGGGCCCACATGTTCTCTAAATGGAGGGCCAAATGTGATTATTCTGAATCTATAATTCTCTGAAGGTCATGGAGTATATAAAAATGTGTTTTATTACAGTAAACCCTGGTTTTATTGGTAGAAAGGAAGATAGCAGAGTGGTTTCACAAGAGTCACATGGCTACCTCAAATAAACAATTTCAGTATCACTCAAGTCCCTGTACACTTTGTATTATTTTTCTTCTTAAGGAGAAGGGTCATGATTTTATTAGCTGTAAACAGCTAGCTATGCACTGATTATATTTGTACTGTGACAGGAACATCTCGTTTATTGAAGTCATGAATTTACAGCTGCTCAATTCTGCAAACTAATCTGGTGTGGTTTTAATGCCAAGAACTAAGCAGAAAGCCCAGACACCAAAGATATATGCATATAAGATCAGCATCCCAACCTTGGGAGCTAAGAATCCACAAGCAGAGACCCTGCATAATATAGGCAACTTTGCTTTCAGATCAGACTTAAGAGATAGGCAAGGAAACAGAGAATGATCAGGGGAAAAAATGGTTAACATTGGATGGGGCTGGAAGCAACCTACATTCTTTCCACTGAACTAACTACATATCAAATCATATTAAAATAAATCTGTAGCTCCCCTGTGAAAATCAGTTTGAGAAAACCACATGCTTTGTGACTAGATCCCAGTTTAGCTATTTCCAATGAAATGATCTCAGACGAGACAGGAACAGATCTGTGCCCAAAACCTTACTGAACCACTACATTAATCTGACTCTATTGAATTTACAGTCATTCCTTGCCCACAATGTAGCACTAAGCACTGGGAGGAGCAGTCCAAAGTGATCATGATTTAATATAACAAGAGAATTTTTTTTTTCTATCTAACAATCAGATTAGCTATTTCAGTGACAAAGGAAGGCATCTGTGGGAACAAGGGGTAGATATGCAAAACAGGAAAGACAATAATTAAGTAAGTTCATTAAAAAGCCAAAGGAAAACAACACAGCTCAAAAGCTGAGCACTCGGTAGAGATTTTTGTAAATCAGATTTCAACTAGCTGTTAAACATTTGCAAATGACTGTCTCATTATCATTCAGTAAGACAGAAGAAAGAGAAAATGAAGGTGGTTTTTTGCATGTACACAAATTAAATGCAAGTTTGTATTGATTAGTACCTGCACAGGGACAATTTAAGCTTTTACTCTCAATCTCTGTCTCTCATCCAACGTTTAAGTATTGATTACACATCCTTGACTATGGACAGTTTACAGTCAATTTGTAAAAGGTAGGTGTCTCGTGTATATATACACACTTTTTCTTTTCCCTATGGTATTGCCTCTGGTTAAACATGTTTTGCAGGAAACAGTATCAAATGAGGCACTACTGAAATGTGAGCAAATATTTTGGATACTGTGTTTGTATGCAACTTCTATCTTCTAACTATCATCTCTGTAAACTGCCCAGAGTCACTTTTTAATGAGATGGGTAGTGACAAATTTTATATATAAATAAATAAACTGCAATACTCTGAAACCCAAAAAGGTCTACCATTGATTCTCTAGTTACCCTGGGCCCAAATGTCAGGACTTGCAACACTTTTCAGCAGGATATGCCTTACCCAGGGCACAGGTACTGCCAGGGAAGCAATGTTCTTCACACAAACCAAGGTATGGGGAAACTACCAGTTTCACAAGTTCCTCTAATTGCATAAACGCCTTACTGGGACCTGTAGGTTCATGGACTCCCTGAAACACAAACAAAATACACCTATTACCAAATACCTGGGATATGCAAATCAACACATTCCATTTGTTCATTTTTTTTTTTATTGACCAAAGAAAAACTTAATTACATGTTAGACTACTTATGATGTGGGAGTTGTAACAATATTTGTATCATTCTCTACAGCAGTGTTTCTCAACCTCAACCAGCATGCTGGCTGGGGAATTCTGGATGTTGAAGCCTACACATCTTCAAGTTGCTGAGGTTGAGAAACACTGTTCTACAAGATTCTCCTGAACGCCCTCAGCAGGATAGTTCAAGCAGGCCATTCCAACAAGTCAAAGAATAAAAGCAAATTAACCCTCTACCCAAGGACTTGGGATACAACTGGGAAATGATAGATGTTTTAATTCTCTGGGTCCAAAGTACCCCGGCACTTCATGATCACATTCCTAATGCTTCCCCTTTTTCTGTCTCTCAAAGTCAGAGAGTTGTAGTTGGGGAGAAATGAGCAGAAGGCGAAAATCCATGGCCAGAGCTCTTTGACCTCAGAGAGGGCAATTTTAAAAGATCTATTATCCTTGAAACAGTCATGGAAATCACTATATCGCAACCTTAAACAAACTTATTGTCATTATTTATAAATGCAGATTTTAGATAGCTTAAAATATTATAAGCAATTAGAGTATTCCATCAGATTCAACTTTATCAATGCCCAATGTCAGAATCCCAGCCCTCCTAACTGAAAATATCTTGCCCAGTACATGTTTAAGGCTGTACCACGTTGACTTTCCCCATAACATCCATGCATACAGCATGAGCATAGAGACTTTTGTGCAGGCAGGTGTATCATCAATCCCTCCCTGTGAGACAGAACCCCAGTGATATAGGGAACCAGTATTCATTGGTCCAGGCCAAAGGCAATTTTTGTTTAGTATTCTCTGCTTCATTAACTGTTTGGAAACCAGTAATTTTGTCCATATGCTTTTTCCACTAATTGTCTAATGTTCATTAACAGAGATGTGCAATACATTTGGATGTCAGAACAATACATTTCAAGGAAGGCTCTCTCATGGTAATGTTAAAACAGGCTGTTCCAACACCAGTACACTTCTGATGAGAGGCTGGAACAGGATGTTTTTGAGACAGCCTTGAAATGTTTTGCCTACCTCCATTCATTAGACCTTCAAACAGCAGAAATGAGAGGTAGAACAGACCATTCCCCACCTGTAAAATCAGCAGCATCTGGACAATGGAAGGTGGAAGGTCACTTTGGACCTGAGGAAGAATCTCATCCAACTTTACTCTTAATAAGACCAAGTCTCGGAAGCCAAGCAAGGAAATCTGACGAATGGTTAATTCTTGGCCCTATGCACATACAGAGAAAATATGGCATCCATTGGCACTGGATTATGGTTCAACCCTATTTGCAGACTGACACCAATGTTTTAGGACAGTAATGCCACCTGTTATCACAAAAGAATTGGAGAACAAGTTGGTAACATGAACATAAGTTAACATGTTATAAATTAAAAGAAATACAATAGTTGGGGCCTTTGATGAACAATATGTGGACCAAAAGGCAGTTGTAGAAACTGATGTTAAGAATGAGGGAGTGGAACCACTGTGTATCTAGATGGGCAAAGCACATTAGCGGCAGCACCCTTTCCAAGGGATTCCGCAAAAATGTCACCGTGTACCTTGGACTTGTTAAAGCACAAGGCTTAATTTATTAACTTGTCTTTGCTGATCCAATTTCAGATATTTAATAGCATTGTAAGAGACAAAATATATGGTATTGAATAAAGTTGAACTGGATCAGTTTTTCTAAAAATGTGTTTTTATTATCTGCTACCACCTTAAACAAGCTAATGCCAAGCCTATATAGCTACAATTCCCTTCCACCTTTGTTTTAGCACTGAGTTTTTAACTTCTATTTCAACAGCTAAAATCAGCTATGTTGTATACTCTCCATGGGAATTTTATAGCTATCCACAACTAATGAACCAGAACTCTAGCTGGAGGGAATAAATGTATGTTAATCATCAATTCATAATAGGGTTAATGATACAACTAACAAGTTCATCAAAATGCAAAGTAAGAACACAAGCCAAAGGCTCTGAAGCTAGAGTCTTTCTGTTTTAAAAAAAGGACTGCTCTCACTAAGCCTCAGAGGGTGTGGTTATGGGCAAATAAATGGAGCAGGACAGACTTGCAAAAAGAAAGGAATGAAATTTCTGCAGAAACAGAAATGTGAGCTTCTTAGCTTGATCTAATTCTTGCTGTGTTACAACTGATTGTGCAAATTTTACACTGTGTTACAAATTGTGCAAATTTTAAAAGATAATCAAGTGTCCACAATCCAGAGACATTAGGAAGACACAGATATCTGTTCATTTGCAGGGGAAAGCTGGCAGGGTGGGTGGGAGGCTGTGAATGGTTAGAACCATCCATACCTATCAATTCATGGCAAAATGATGCCAAATTTTGTTTGCCTAGCTATTCACTTTTAAGGATATTAAACTTTTTCTGATTTATTTTGGGAAAAATGTTCTGGTACAATTAATTGGCTTTGCTTCCACATTTGGACCATGGTCATTTATGTAGAATTGTTCATTTAACCTGTAGATACTGCTTTATTTTTATAATTTAAATTTAATTCCATTTCCAGGCTTTAGCTGTGCAATCCACTGTAGATGAATAGCAAAAGCATCAATTTTTTTCTGTCAATGCCCCTTTCATTTTCAATGATATTTATATTTCTCAAACTGCTCTTCTCTCTACGGTCCTCAGATAACTATTTGGGAATTATTAGAATATAGTACTCATGTTATTTGTTACCATTCAATTTCATATCATCGTAACATTCCTTCACCATCTTTTTGGTTGCTGCACCCAAGCTTCAACAGAATTTTAGAACTGCATTTTAGAACTGCAACTTTCTTTTGTGCTGTTTATGCTAATGTTCCTTTATGGAGGAAGAGTGTGAAGGAGAGTGTACTACATGAAAACATCTCTTGTAATATGAAGCTTCCATCAATTTATCTGCACTTTAAGAAACATCTTTCCATTTTTCCATAATATTTTGGTTATATAGTCATCTAAGCTACATCGAGTGGAGTCACAGCTGGTTGCAAATCCAGGAAGACCTCAATTATTTCTCTATCAAACTGGAGGAAGGTTTCAAGTGGGATGACACTAAGCTCTTTCTTAGGACCTGGTAATCTTCAATATGCTTATTTATTTTTACTTATTTAAGATGGAAGGCACTTATCTGAGCAGTAGTACATATAAAAAAGAATCGATGAGAGCATTTCAATCAACAAAGCAATAGCAATATTATGTAACTGAAAAAAATGAATGTAATTTCAGATCACATCTATTAAGACACAACAGTTTTGAGTGAACATTTTCCTACTATACATGTTTAAATCCATTGTGTAAACAGAGTGCAAATTTGAAGGAATTCAAAAGATAACTGGGTTCTAATCCTTGTAGTATGTGGTGGAGCTGTGCAGCACTTCAAATCCAAAGCCATAAAGATGCTTATGAGTGGGTTTGATGTGCCTCCTTAATTCAAACATACTGTCCTCAGACACGTGATAAAGAAACACTGGACTTTTATGCTTTAATCTGTCCCAGAGTCTGAATGGGTGGCCTAAAAATGTGACAGATAGACAGACTGATTTAAGGCCCCTACCTTTCTGGGTCTGTAGACTTATCTGGAATGCTGTAAGCATTGACCAGAAGCCTAGTTGATTTTCAGCTCATTTCTCCCAACTGCTTCTTTTAACCTTCTCATACATTCTCTGCTACTTAAACGTAGAGATCATGCTTTACTTTGCAGCTTCCCATTTTTTAAAAAATTAAAAAGTAAAATCAGATGAGGCAGGGAGCCTGATAGGCAAAAGAGGAATTGCAAGACACACTGGCACCCATAGGCATATCATTGGGAGCCCAGGAGTTAAAAGATTTTTCAAATGTGCATAGTTCATCTGCCCATAAAGCTACACATACCTTTTATCATCTGCTGCAAGTATGAGAAAGAGGAGTAGGGGGAGGGGATAACAGGAAAAAGAAAAAAAATTACAGCATGGGAAATCAAGATTCCTGTAGCAAGAAGCAAGTATTTACATTCCTCCTAGTAATATGGAAAACACCACTTTGAAACAAGGTTTGCATAAGGTAGTGATGTTTACCTGTTGGCATTTTTGGTCTAGAGAGGAAAAAATTAACACCAGCTAGTGCTGTATCGTTAAGGGCAGCTCTGGAAAAGCCCAGAGAAAGTATGTAACTTTCCTAAGAATTACATTCTGCAAGAAATTTGTCCAGTCAGTAACTTCTCTTGCCTAGATAACATTATTTTCTTGGTTCTCAAATTAATCCTCTGTTATTGAGCTCCTTCAGTTCCTTGGGAAAAAATATTATCTTTTTTTATCTTAGAGTGCCAAACATAATTACTGGGATAATGAACACAGAGAAGTTATGAGTATTCCACTTGTCTCAAATGTGAAAATGGTTTGTGTAAAAGGTGGTGTAACACTGAGGATTGTTAACGATGGCAAGCAAATACTTGGGACTGTTGGACAGTGGGTTGAGCCAGTTTAATCAGAGGCCAACACAAATACATTTAATGACTTTTCTGCTTCTAGAGGAACAAGACAGTTCTAAAATCAGAAAAGGGGGGATTTTTAGCTTATAAATTTGCTGCCTCTGCATGTATCTCATAGATCCTTATCAAGTATTTGGCATAAAAATTATGCTGCCTCTTTACAAATCATCATTTGAAATTCAAGGGTTGACAACAGAAACCAAACTTCTTTCCCATTCTTCCTCTCAGGTACAGCAGTAAGAAAAAGAGGCTATAATCAAGATTATCAACAAATTGAGAGGGAAACGGGTGAAGAAAGTACAGAAAGTCTTGTCCTTGAGGAACCCACAGGCCAGGTTGGCCGGAAATTCTGTTATTCCAATATGCCTGGAAGGTGCCAGGTTGGAGACAATGGTTTTTATCATTAGTATATTGTCCAATTACAATGACTTCTGGGTGGTTAAAAACAAAATGTATTGTTAACAATGAATATTGACCTGTCAATTCAAAATAACATGAAATATTGATCCAGAATAACTTATCCTTTAACGGACATGCATAGATTTCCAATTACTGGGTAACAGGATTTGTGGTTCAAATTAATCAGAGTTTTATAACTATATTGACAGCAGGACAAACAAGTTTAGCAGCAATTCTAGTGAAATGTGTGATTCTTAAAGTTTAAAATTATTTTCCTTTACAGCATGTCTCCCTGCAGCTACAGAGAAGCAACTGTCAGTAAGCTTTAAATATTTTCTCTGTCCTGTTGAACTTATATTTTAACTAGACTTACCTGAACAGGGTAAAATATAGCCTGTAGTGTGGGAAGAGTCTCTGTGAAGAAGTGATCCCAGGTTTCAGATAATACCTGGATACGATCTTCTCCTAGAAGAAATACAAGGAACATTGGGGAACTTTCAAGAAACATGTTGTTATTAGATACCCATCCCTCATTTCTAAGTTCAAACCAGGTCCATACATTGCTTAGCTTTGTGAGATCACTAGAGGTTGGCTAGGTGCCTTCTAGCTGAGCAACAGAGGCCCAGATAAGTGGCAGCACCTAGCCAATCTTGGAAAGCTAACTAGGATTGGACCGGGTTAGTATCTGGATGGGAGACCTCCAGGAATACCAGGTTTGTAGATTAGAGTGGGAAGGAGAAAAAAAGAAACACAGGAAGTAAGCAAGGACAAAGCACTTCCATGTGGTGACCAGGAAACCCACATGGAAGTGCTCATGCAGTCACTAGAAGCTGAATTCAGTTTGAAGAGGGTTTCTCCTTTATCCAAATACTGCCTATTTTTGCACAAAGGCAGATTCAGCTGCAACTGCAATGACAACAGCAATATGCTTTGTATGGGGGCTATCTTTAAGGACTTCCCGGAAGCTGTAGTTGGTGCAGAATCTAGCTGCCACCTATCGTGAGTAAGAACCTCCAGGCCCCCTAAAATTGCTTCTGCTGGCCCTGCACTGGTTTCCAATAGATTTCTGGGTACAATTCAAAATGATGGTTTTAACCTATAAGGCCTTTTATGACTTGGAGTCTGGGTGTCTGCAGAATTACTGCAGGTAGAACTGACCCATCTGATTTGTTTGCCCCAAATGGGGATCACATGGGGACCTCTTTCCCATGTGAGATCAGAGGAGAGCAAGGGCATGATGGATTTGGGGACATGTCCCCATATTATGAAAGAGGTGACCTCTGGAGATCTGAATGGGACAATCCCTGACAGTTTTCCAGAGGATTGTAATGGCTAAGCACTTCAACTGAGCATTTAATTATTGAGAAATGTTGGAAATTGTTTATAGGAGGCCAGGTTTCTCTTGGGGAAGGGTATGTTTTATGGTATTATCTTTCTAGGGTTTTTATGCACCTGTGTACCATGACAAAAATTTACATGAAACCAATAAATAGTATAAAAATGCTGCAGATATATAAATTATAACACATAGCAGCTATGCCTAACTTTCTATTTGTCTTCTTTCCGAGATAAAATAGTGTTGACTTCTTTTGAGGAATAATCAGTATTCCATATTGCCTCAGGCTAAGGTCATATGAAAACTATAAAATATGATTTATCTAAAAAAGAAAAAAAATATGCATAGCAGAAAGCCCCTATTGTTTTAGAGTTCATTAACCTTTAACTAAAAATGTGGGCATTCTCCCAGAGAGAGAAGCAGAAATAACAGTAATAATTTAGCAGGCTTAAACTTTCAGAATATTTTTTTTAATTGTTCATCTCAAGTAAGAAGAATCTATAGGCTATCCCCACTCCTCTCTATCTAAAGTATATCTCAGTATCCACAGAATGCCAAAAGATTTCAGCGCAAGTAGTTTTAATATTCTATTCTCCAGTTGCACAAATATATCCATTAATAAGGCAAGTGCTTATGTGAAGGTTATAACAAGGACAGTGGTCACTGAAAACCAGAAGTCCCATTTTGCAGGAGGAACTGGTAAGACTGGCAATACTTTGTCCAACATCACAATGTATAAATCAGCTCTAGATTTCATGTAATCCTATTACAATAAAGTCATCTGCAGGCTAAAAGCAAGGTGGGGTTTATGAACACCAAACCTATTCCCATAGTCCTCCCCTACATCCTGAACAAGTTCCCAAGGGACCTTCTACTTGCTGTTTCTTGAACACAACTATCAATCCCAATATGGTTAGGAATCCTGCATTATCATGATGTTCCACAAACAGTGGCTTTTATTTACGTGTGACTAAATGTGAACAGAACCTTTCTTCAATTCCCAGTGCAGAAAGATCAAGGACAGAGATGCTGACTGTACAGTAGTCCTAACATGAGCTGCTGAAGGCATCCTCAGGTTTTAACAAAGTAGTAGTTTAACCCTAAATTAAGTATGCAGCTTGGGGGAAAAAAAACCAGTCAAATAGAATGCATCCCTTTATGTTTACTGACCTAATTCTACATAGTGATATCAAAAAACATGGCACTGGATCTATCTATACGGTTACTGCTTATCAAAACTTTTTCTCTACCAGATAAGGAAAATATCTGCTAGTGAGTATGCACTAATATTTCAAAACCCATTAAACAGGTCTTCCTCTAGCCTTTTTCAGCAACTCTTAACTGAAGCGAGGAGACAATTTGTGGTCAGCAGTGCATGGAACACTATAATTCCTTCCAGATAAACACAGTAATAGTTCCTCTTTAAACCTTGTTACCATCTTATCTCCATGCATACGGTTAAGAATACTTCTCTGCTGCTCACTCTACCTCATGGAGTTGGTTATGAAGTTAGATATCCACTCAAAACTCTCTGGAAGAGGGGTGGATCCTCTTCCAATAACCCAGATCCTAGCATGTTAATTGTGCCTTTATACTCATTTTTGAAATCAGAAATCTTCAAGTTACGACCACTCGTTCACCAACTGTTCAAAGTTATGACCAGTCCTCAGAGTACCAGCTGTCGCGTGATTGTGATTTCTGATGTTCCCTGCTGGCTTCCCACAAGCAAAGTCAATGGGGAAGCCAGCTGGAAGTCAGAAGTCACTCCTGACGCTTTTTTGCCCACCTCCATTCCACAGCGCCTGCCCACAGCACCCGCCTGCCCACGGCATGCACCTGCACTCCACAGCAACCCCCATGGCACCCCCCCACACTCCAGAGCACTGCCATGGCATCCCCTGCCTCTCTGCAGCACCTGCCCACCCTGGAGTGCCTGCCTACGGCACTCCCACCCACCCACTGAAGCTCTCACCTGCAGCCCTCACCTGCCAGCCTGCTTGTCTAGGACTCCCGCCTCTTCCCACTTAATGACCTGCACGGTCCTGGGCTTAGAACAGCAACCTGCACTGCGGAATTGCCATCACTAATTGATGTGGTCATGGGATGTCGTGCTTTATGACTGCATTGCTCATGACAGAAATTCCAGTTCCAATTACCATCGTAACCCAAGGACTACCTGTAATACAACACTGCATGCTGAACTGGCTTTTAGCAGGATTTGTAGTTGCATCCTGGTATAACAAAAAAGAACTATTTTTAAGCATGATGCAGTTTGGAAGTACAGAGGTAGATGTTTGAGAATTCTCTACAGGAACCCATCTTTCCACAAAATTATTTTACCAGCAGCATAGAGTATCTCCTGGAACAAAACAAGGAAAGCTCTGTCATGCTGAATACCTACCATCTTATTAATTCTCACTATCACTACAGATATAACTCCTTTGGTCTCCAGATTGACAAATATTTGTTAAGCCCCATGCCAAAGAAGCTAAAGAGCATCTCCATCACTTTTTCTCAGTAATCATAGAACTGAAGAATCACTCATTTTCTCCCAAAGTAACTTTCAGCAGCCACAAATGGCACCATTTGAATTTTCTGCATAAAGTTGAGTGATTCAGAAACTCACAACTGAAAAACTGTCAAACTCAGCTTTTATTTCTAATCGAGAAGCACAAGTTTCTAGCTGCTGTATTCTTGTCATGGCCTAAGACCCAGATGAGCACACTCTCCAAAGAACTGTGTGAGCTGCACTGATGGCTTCAGACTGGTTACTGGAAAACCTCATGTTGCAACATTATAAGCAAATTTTATTCACTGTTGTTAGACTTGTTTCCAAATAAGGACTCCTGCAATTGCAGTCTTAGCAGCCTGTGACCCACTAAATTGTAACATAAATGTATTTGTTTTTTAAAAAAATTAAACTAAGGTTGTAAAACTCAGAAGAACCCTAGTTATCTGAGTTTAATTAGAAATTAGTTGGAAAGTTGGAATTTAACAATATGTTTGACAGGTTCTAGAGCTCTTACATCACATCTGCCTGTTAATGTCTAAGAGTATGTCCGGTTTTTTTTTTTAAAAAAAAAAGAGTTCTAAAAGAAATACTACATGCAATTTTTACAACCATCTGCAAAACTCTTTTTTCTTTCTTTGATTTTGAATCCAAATAACAGAAAACAATAAACCAGAGAGCTATATATGATGAAGAAACAGGTCCAATAATTGAAGTTTATCTGATCAAGTATTAAGAAGTCTGAATGGCTTTTTTGTGGTTAAGAAACTAGGATAGATTTATTTCTCCCTAGGTTCCTGCCTCCTTTTGAACTATCAGTGAGCAGCATAACTTATTTATTTGTCAAATTTATATAGCTGCCCATCTCACAAAACAAGTGATTCTGGGCAGCGTACAACAAGGTTAAAAAAAGTTAGTTAATACATACTCAAAACAATCATTAAGAAACATTAAAAACAACAAAGATTGGCAACTGAAAACTGTTATGGCCTAGTAACATTCTCCCATGTACAGTGGGGCAAAAAAGTATTTAGTCAGCCACCAATTGTGCAAGTTCTCCCACTTAAA